TAACCTAAGTATGTATCTATTTAATTATTTTAAATCTTAAGTATTTTCTAAAACACTTGAAATGAGAATAAAATTCAAAATAAATATTTATATCGAGTAATAACCAAAATATAAAAAAAAACATAGCAAGAGAAAAATGTAAGATAAATAGGACTGACACGTGAACGTGAACTTCTCATAACCATAATTAATTTTTAAATTGTTAAATCATGATATAAAACTGAGTTAATTTTTAATTTGTTAATTTTTAATTTTTAATTTTTTTAAATCATTATGGTTATGTTAAATCATGACCATAATTAATTTTAAATTGTTTATTTGTATTTGAAAAACTCAAATTATTGTTTTTAAAAATAATTTAAAATTTAACATAATTTTTTATAAATTATTTTAAAAAATAATAATTTGTAAAAAATATAATTTTCTAATATTATTATACAGATAAATAAATTATATTAAATTAGTTTTGAAACTTTATATATTTTAAATGCAAATATTTTACCAATTGCTAATACTCTACCAATCAAGCCCAGCGACACTCCGTTTATTTTCCATCACTCGAACATTTAAAAGTGAATATATGAAATCAGATCTATTAAATTCTAAGACTTAATCTACATTTCTAACTAAAATTGTTTCTGATCCTACGTATAGATAATTATATAAAAATTTCAAAATTCTTAGAATTTCAAATACATACAAAAACAATCATATGTAAATTTTAAATTTGTCAATACTAAATTTTTATATTTTAATTACATATATTCACCCTGCGCAAGGCGCAGGTCTTATCCTAGTTACTTGATTATTACGCATTACTTATGATTTTCTACTACATATATATTGATAAATAAATAGTATCTTGATAATAATGTTGAGAATGAAATGACCTGCAAAATGATGGATTAAGAAAGATTGATAATGTTGGCCCATTAATAAAATATTTTCTTAATGGGATGCCTATTTTCTTTTGTTGAAATATGCAGCTTTATATATGATTTTATGATAGTTTCGAAAACTGAAACCATATATAACATGAAACCGTGAATCTAATCTCTGAAGCCGAATAAATTGACAGATCTGTTGCACCGATGGTAACCAAGATAACCATATTATAATTAAACCGAATTCTAATCTAGTTTTTTAATATCTTTATTAGCCAGGTCCAAGAGCTTTGTGTTTTAGAGATTCCTTACGAGTTATGACCTTACACAGTAAGGGAGGGGTCATTTCTAGCATAATAAATGAAGGAACTCTTATCTCAGATAGGTATACATATGTATATATATATGGCTCGATTTACAATATCAAAAGAGTTCGTGGTAATCAAATTATTGTTTAGGCTTTTATATTTCACCATTACGTTGCCCATGTGCTTACTCCACGCCGAAGTAAACATCTTATGTGAAAATTTATTATGATGTTGATAAAAAACTAAAGTTTGGTTAAAACATAAATTGAATAAATGGAAGAACTAGTTATGAACTTGAAAAGCTATCAAAAGTTAGTATTTTAGTATAAAATGATGATTAAATTTATTTGTGCAATAGTATTCCAATTTACAGATACGATGTTGGAATCAAATCTTCTTTTCTTGAATGTGTTGGTACCTTAAGCCAACCATTTGATTCTCTTCTCTCTTTTTTTATTAGAGCTAAACAAATTTTAAACACCAAATGCACAAAGTGTCATTGGTAGTTGCTGTTCACATCCTTATTTATTTCTACAACACCAAACTAATACCAATCATTTTTAAAAAATACAATTCTTGAAATAATCTACAACTATACAAGTATTTTATAGAGCTAAATTCCCACAGAAATTTTTTTGGTTTTTAATAAAATTTTATGGTAATAAAATTTAAAGTTATGCAAAAAATTACAACCACTACCAATTGGATCCGCAATCAACCAATTATTTGTTTTTCTCTTAGAGTCCTAATGTAACTTTTTTATTTTTAGTATGTACATTTATTTTGAAATGAGGGCGTGATGTCACTTTTCCATGACTTCATTTTATTAAAAAAATCGATGACGATCCTATTACTTGAGACATGCATATCTATAAACCGAATATTCGTTATTCTTGTTTATCGTTGTGCCGATTATGACTAAACGAGTGATTAACTATAAGTTATAATGCCCAACAAATTAAACGGGCTATCAAAAGTAATATTAGAACAAAGTAATGGTTAAATATTGTGAAATGAACTCTATTGCACCACTAATCAAGCAATTATGAACATAAAATAATATAATGTTTATATTCCCATTCGTGCGTTCCCAATCACTTTGAATAATCATATTCCTAACTAACAATTCGAAGCAAACGGTCCTCTACTTTTATTGTTCGTTTTCTCTTTCTATTTTAGTAATCTGTATTATTGCGTTGAAGTACTTACAACTTGATCACGGAATGTAATACAACTCTGTGAATATACAACTCTACTAAGTTAATTCATTTCCTTACAATAACAAATGTTCATGATAGCCGAAAAAAGAATCCGAAATACAAGTATATATATCAGTTGGTTGATTAAGTCAGATATTTTTAAAGGTATAAAACCAAACTAGATCTCGACCCGCACAATCGTGTGGTACTTTAATATGAAAATATTTGAAAATGTGTAATATTCTCTCTATTTCAAATTAGATGATGTTTTAAAAAAATTATTTTGTTTCAAATTATAAGATGTTCTGAAATGTTAAGATATATTTTGAGTTTTTAAGGTTATTTTTAACTTTATTGGAAACTGTTTAACTTACAAAATTTTACTACTTTTTTAATAATTGGTTGAATGATTTTAAAATTATATTTCTACAAATAATTTTGTAAAAGAATGTAAATTTCTTAATCTTTGTGAAATGATCGAAAACATCATATATTAAGAAACAGAGCGAGTAAAATTTATCAATAAATAATTATAATTTGATTTTGTATATATTTAATTTTATAATAATATTTATCTGGCTTATAATATTATCAATATAAATTTATAAATTTGTATTTTTGTAACAATTTTTAAAATCATTATTATGTAACATTACTATTTATATATTTTGTTTTCTTTCTAAATTTGAAATCTATGTAAAAAATAAATTAAGTTGGATCTACATAATACATAAATAAAATTTTGGGATATTGTTAAAAATATTTTACATAATTTTAATTTTTTAAGGAATAAAAATGATAATTAAAATATGAAAAAATATTATAAGGATGTTAAATAAAACTTTATAAAATTTATAAAGATGGTCCAAACTAAAATCATACATGAAGTGAGTCATGACTTTTCTTTTAATATACTCCTTCCGTTTCGAATTAATTGTCATTCTGGAGGAAAAACTTTGTTTCAAAATAAGTGTCGTTTTAGAGTTTTGAGACAAAATTTATTAGTTTTATATGATATTCTATTTTTCTATTGGTTGAAAAGTGGTTAGATGTATTGGTAATTGTGTTTTTTTCCTTGAAAATATGTAAAATTAAATGTTTTCTTAATCTGTGTGCAAAAACATAGAATGACAATTAAAATAAAACGGAGGGAGTAATAGATACCTACAAACACTATCTTTATTTTGTAATATTAAACGTTATCATTGGAAATGATGTGATACGTAATGCATAAATATTCCATGCAGATAAGAATAAGTCGAAAGAAAAAAGAAAGAATTGTGTTTACGTGAGCTATCTCCAATTTATCTTTTCAAGACTGGTTGTATTTACCATGTAGATTTGTTATTTGGTGGTACTCCTAGCCCTAGGACCAGCAGCTGTGACGAGAGAACACATGGCCAATGCAACTGACTAGTGTATGGAGCTATTACTTCGAAACGTGTTTATGTTTCATTCGTCAAATGCAGCCTGGCCGTTGCCTTCAGTACTCTCACTGAAACTGAATTAACACGTGAAAAAACAAATACTACTACCAAAAACAAAACATTGCACGCTTGAAGGCCCTACATTTACAAGCAAAATCTCTGCAGCTACATTTACAAGCCTACACGTTTGCCTGCCACGTTTTAGACACAAGCAAAGAAAGTAACGTCTCCGTTAACGGAAACCGTAACTGAATAATGAAACTCTTGGATTCACGCGCCTTATTATTATGGTAATAAAAAAACTATTAGATATACGGTAATTTTTTTATAAATTACAATGCCAGAACTATAATATTTTATTAATTTATAGAGTTATTAATTTATTTAAAGTTTTTTGTCATTTGTTATAATTTTTTTTAGAATTAAAAAATATTTGATTTTAGTGTATATACATTAATTATTTTTTGATTTTAATTTATGATATTATTTTGTGTATATAAAATATGTTTCACAAAATTTAAATATGCTTTTAGATATATTTTACTAAATTTCATCAAAATATTAAACTATTAAGAGAATATAAAACGAGTTTTATTATAAATATAAAACAAACAATACCATACTTTTGTTTATACTATATACTAATATATATTTTTTATTATTTTATAAGTTTAAAGGTACTATATATTTACATAATATTTTTAAAATGTATTATTTTATTATTGTATCGATTTATTATATATTGACTAATATGGACCAGAAAAATTTATTAATTTATGGTATTTATTAATTTATCGAGTTTTTACTATATAGTTTTGAGCTATAACTACATTTACTAATCAGCTAAAACTTCACAATAACCATTGTCTATACTTAATCTAACGGTTCACAATAATTGACCATACGTTTCTCTTAAATACTTCCAATAACGAGAAAACAGCAAGAATTTGGTAATTAAATAGAAAACACGACACGAAGTTTGTAAGAAGAGAATGATGAAATACAAAAAGGCAGAGGGAAGGAGCAGTTTCGTAACTGAAACTGCAAAGCTAAAGAGAGAACATTTAATTGTCTTTAATTTTTATCCAACAGTGCTTTTGTAATGAATTTATGTTATAATGAATTCAGACATAACCGTCGTGTATTGTTAAAAAACAAAAAAGAGTTTCCTTTTTTTTTTTTACTTTCTTCTTAGTTCTTACCCTTCTTTGATGACTCTTGTCTTCTTCTTGTGTGTTTCTTTGATGAGTTAGTTGTTCTGAGTGTTAGTTTCCCTTTAGTTTGAAAATTCAAGAAAAGCTTGGTCTCCTTCGATGGCGAAGGTTGTGGATGATCAACTGTACATGGAGCTGTGGACAGCTTGTGCAGGGCCACTTGTGGAAGTTCCTCGTTATGGTGAAAGAGTTTTCTACTTCCCTCAAGGTCACATGGAACAAGTAAGCTCTAAAAAGAAATCATCAAACACAAAAGATTCTTCTCTCCTTCACTTTCTTTCTCTTCAAGACTTCATTTACATGTTTTGCAGTTGGTGGCTTCCACTAATCAAGAAGGAGTAGTTCATCAAGAATTACCAGATTTTAATCTTCCTTCAAAGATACTTTGTCGAGTTCTTAATGTCATGTTAAAAGCAGAACATGAAACAGATGAAGTTTACGCTCAGATCACATTACAACCAGAGGAAGATGTAAGTTTGAATATAATCTTTTTAAAAAAAGTTGAATATAATCTCGAGTCTTGACTAATGTTATCAGTAAAACACAGAATCTTAATAGCTATTTTATTTTGCAGCAAAATGAACTTACAAGCCTTGATCCAACTGTAACTGAACCTGCTAAACAAACTATTGATTCGTTTGCTAAGATTCTAACAGCTTCTGATACAAGCACTCACGGTGGCTTCTCTGTTCTTCGTAAACACGCTACTGAGTGTTTGCCTTTACTTGTAAGTCCCTTTTATCCTTCATCTCTATTTTCTTGATTATGGGGTTTCTCCTTGCTTGATTTTGTCACTCTATATGTTTTAATATTTTTAAGGATATGACACAACCTACACCGACTCAAGAACTGGTAGCTAGAGATCTCCACGGCTATGAATGGAGGTTTAAGCATATATTCAGAGGTAGCAACCTCTCTTAAGAGGGTTTCCACGAGTTTCCTTTGGCTTATAGCGAGTCTAATGAGTTTGTTTCATTTAATAGGACAACCAAAGAGACATTTACTTACAACTGGTTGGAGTACATTTGTAACCTCTAAAAGACTTGTAGCTGGAGATGCATTTGTGTTCTTGAGGTACTTAAAAAGAGCTAAGAGTCTTTACTTGGTGAGTTTCTTATATTATGTTTTTTTATAAGGGGTCAAAATGGGGATCTACGAGTTGGCGTGAGACGTTTAGCTAGGCAACAAAGCACAATGCCTGCATCAGTGATCTCGAGTCAGTGTATGCACTTGGGAGTTCTTGCTACAGCTTCTCATGCTGTCAATACCAAAACTATGTTTGTTGTCTTCTATAAGCCTAGGTGAAGTCTCATACTTGGCATTTGATATAAGGTTGCTTTTGTAGGGACATAAGCTTAATGTTGTCTGGTCTTTGTTTTCAGGATAAGCCAATTCATAATAAGTGTGAACAAGTATATGGCGGCCATGAAGAATGGGTTCTCTATTGGTAGAAGGTTTAGAATGAGATTTGAAGGAGAAGAGTCTCCTGAGAGAATGTATGTTTCATATTTCTGTTTTTAGTTCAGTCTTGTCTTGATTGTTGGAAGGACCGTCTAATAGCATGTCCAAGTGGAGCGGAAAAAAAAGAAGTTAAAACATATATAGAAGCTATTAACTTTTAAAAATATATCATTCTTTTCATATACACGTTAGTTTTTTCCATAACATGGCCTAAAAATAATTTGAGATGGTACTGATTGTTGTTGTTTGAAAGTGTTGGCTGTTTTTTTTCTTCAGGTTTACGGGTACGATTATCGGTACTGGAGATCTATCTCCTCAATGGCAAGCTTCAAAGTGGAGGTCATTGCAGGTTCAGTTGAATATGAACCATTCTCTATAATATTATATGGTTCTTGTTTCAAACTTTATGTAAAATTCAATATTTTTCTTCTTATCTTAAGATTCAATGGGACGAGCCGTCTTCGGTTCATAGACCAAACAGGGTATCACCGTGGGAGATAGAGCCTTTCTCACCGTCCAAGCTCACACCAACGCCTACTCAACCACAGTCCAAGTCCAAACGGTCTAGACCTATTGATTCAGCAGTTTCAGGTACCTTCAGTAACAACAAGCTTTATAAATATATTATTTTCGACGATGAAACTTGTGTCTTCTTGCATTGTAGAAATCACAGGGAGTCCTGTCGCTTCTAATTTCTTGAGTAACTTCCCGCAAAGCCACGAGGCTAATCCATCACTTAAACTATTGTTTCAAGATCCACCAAATAGTGGATTACAATTCAAGAAAACAGAGACTTCGGTCACAAGTTGCTGTAGGTTATTCGGATTCGATCTCATGAGCAAGCCTACTGCTACTCCAGTCCTTCTTGACAAGCAAGTAATAAGCGTGGATTCAAATAACTCTGGTTCTACCAAATATCAAGATCCTAACTCGTCGAACTTGCCAAGGCAACAAACATCAACAAGAAGTCGAATCAAGGTATAACAAACTATTAATTCTTCACTTGAAACTCAGGCAGATACAAACTGTTGTGTTTGTTTGTTTGTTCTTGAAAAGGTGCAAATGCAAGGAACAGCGGTGGGACGCGCGGTTGATTTAACATTGTTGAGATCATACGATGGATTGATTAGTGAGTTAGAGAAACTGTTTGAGATTGAAGGAGAGCTTAGGCCTAAAGACAAATGGGCTATTGTCTTTACAGACGATGAAGGTGATATGATGCTTATAGGAGACGATCCATGGAAGTAAGTAACTCTTTAATTTATCTCTCAAGTCTCTCTAGTTTTTATTATTGTTTCTTTAACATACAGTCTTGAATGTGCAGTGAGTTCTGTAAAATGGCGAAGAAGTTATTCATATATCCGAGTGATGAGGTCAAGAAAATGAGCTCAAAGTCATTGTTGGATGATGAAGTTACAATCATCAATCTTGAATAACCTTAATTTACCACGAAGTTCTTGTTTCTTCTTCTTCTTTTTTTGGGTTGGATTCTCTCACCGAGTCACGATGTTAGGTGGCTTTGTTTTATCTAATTGAAGTTATTAGGTGGTTTGCTACTTTAACATAAAGTTTATGTGATTTTATATGAACTAGTATTTTAGTTATTTACGAATAAATCATATATTAGGATTACGATGTAGTCGTCTTGTGTGGAGTGTGTACTTTTTGGACGTGGCTTTTGTCGTAATAATGACAAATGATGTGTTAGAAAACAAAATATATCATATGCGTTTTTTTTTACAAATGTTTTTAGTATAGTTTAACAAATTTATTTGTGGATGTAATGATTTTTCTTGTGAGGACCTAATTGATTGAACTGATTAACATGGTAGTGGTAGGCCTATTTACTGAATCCATATCAATGTTATAGATATCCTCCTATACATTAAAAGAGAAGTCACTTTGACACGTGGCACTCACACAGCCATTCTCAAAAGAATTCTAGCGATTTTATTGGTTGATTTTTTAGAATTTATTTTTTGATTTATTTTTACCATCGACAACCTAATAGGAAAGCAATACTAATTACTAACCTTATTACATATTACTTGCACAAGAATATTAATTAATACATGTATTAATAAGTTTCCTTATTACAAATACGGTAAACCATTTACTCTTGATATCATATTGATTACATTGTTTAATGACATTTAACAATTTGTATCTAATTAAGAAACTTATTTTTATTAACTTACCTTACTAATATTGATTACTTGCGCAAGTTAAAATCATATCATATGCATATCATTTTATTAGCTTATCATGCAAGCTAAATCATTGAGAAACATCCATGAATTTACTATATATAAGACATTCACAGTATGAGAAACGAAGCCACTGAACTTTTTATTCTGAACTTTTTATGTTTATA